CAAAAGACCAAGAGATTTACAAAGTGAAAAAAGGTGTCTATCGGAACGAATGGGACGATTCGATTAAGTTCGAGTTGTTTCCATGATAGCATTCTACTTCGTGGAAATAAAATTGTAATACCACAGCAACTCTGCAAGAGTGTATTAGATGCACCATACGAGGGTCATCCAGGTATCGTAGCGATGAAGGGACGCTTGAGATCAAAGGTATGGTGGCCCCGTATCGATAAAGACGTAGAACAATTAGTAAAGGCCTGTAAAGGTTGTACGTTAGTGGGTTTGCCAAACCCACCTGCACCAATGAAGAGACGAGAGTTGCCTGCAGCTACATGGATAGATGTCATAATGGATCTAATGGGACCATTGCCAAGTAACGAGTATCTATTAATAGTGGTCGACTACTATAGTCGATACAAAGAAGTAAAAATTACAAAAACATCACAAGCTTACAGATTATTAAAATGGTAAAAGAAATGTTCAGTAGACTTGGTTATCATAGGATAACCAAGTCTGCGGTGATAGAAATAGTTCTATCACCGCAGACAATGGCAAGCAGTTCGTTAATGAAGAGTTTCGATCTTTCTTCAAAGAATGTAACATTAAGTTATTTAGTACTGTACCATATTGGCCTCAAATGATCGGCGAAGTTGAAAGACAAAAAAGAGATATTTTGAAACGTTTTCGTATCAGCCAGATCGAGAGGAAGGGTTTAAAAGAATGTTTGTGGGAGTATCTTCTAATGTATAACTGCACCCCTCCTTACAGTTACCGGGAGGTTACCGTCTGAACTGTTTTTCAACGAAAAAGTAGGGATAAAATTCCATCAATAGGTGAAATAAATTACAGACAATCATTTAGATTCAGATAGCAGGGATAGAGACAAAATACAAAAAGGAAAAGAGTATGTAGATAGGAAACGCAGAGCAACTCACTCAGATATAATACAGGGAGATAAGGTTTACGTAAAAGCAGTGGAAAAATCGAATAATCTTACAACAAATTTTAAACCGACGCCACACGTCGTAGAGAGTGCACGAGACGGTGACTGCACAGTACGCAATAGTGAAACGAACCAAAGGTTTAGGAGAAATGTGATACATTTGAAGAAAGTAGGAGGCAATCGGACGGCTATTCCACCCGATCAGAATGAAAAAGAACAAAATCTAGAACAGGATAAAGAAGACGAAAATATGTAAAAATTAATACAGACAATACAAGCTGCTTTGTGATTGTTATGAGTTATAATAAAAAAAAAAAAGAAAAATCTTGATAAGAAAGAGATATAGTGTTTGCATATATATATATATATATATGTCACTGTCTCGAGCGCACCGCGTCAGTTACACGAGAGCCTCGGGCGAGAGTGTATGTGTTTAGTTAAGTGCGTGCCGAGCCTGTGTTACACTACAGTGATTAGAGAAGATAGCAGACAATACTCTATTACTGTTATACAGATGTATAATCAGTGTTAACTACTAACAGACTAATAATTATTTTTGCATTTTTATTAATAGCTTAGATTTTTAAAATACTTATACACATACGTTTCAAAACCTAGAATCCCGATCCCGAATGTACTACGAATTACTGGGTCTTTTGTAGAGAGTATCGGCCCTAATAATGTAAAATTTCATTTTTAATTACGTGAGAAAATCAAGTGATACTTTTTACGGGTTCAAAATCAAGCCAGTCACAAAAAAAATACATTCGGAGGCAAATTCTGACTAAAGAAATACAAGGGTCATAAATTTTCTATGTCGTCCGATGTGTGAACTTCAGTTTCCAACCGAAAAAACATAGCTTGAATTTATAGTTAGCGATATTTACCCGAAGCAATAAGTTTAAGAAGTTATGGCTCATCCGAATTTATGGGTCATTGCCAGCGGAAAAAATGCGTCGAAGAAAAATTATGTTCTCCAGACCGAATTTAGGTGAAGTGGCCAGTCTCAAAAGAGACTAGCCATCTGCACAGGATAGGGGCACTCTCTACTCCCTTGTGAGAGTAGTCCGATGGGATGGCAAACCGACATGACTGGAAAGGGAACTGGCGCAAGAACAACGGCTGTACCTGCTTTCCGAGGCACGAGGATGTAACACCACCAATTTCCTAACTCCGGGCTACCACAGAACTTCTTGACATAAAAACTCAATAACTGATTTTTGTTGGCTTGACCCGGGATTCAAACTCGGGACCTCATGATCAGTAGTCGTGTTTACAGCCACTAGATTAACGGCATAACGACAATGGATAGATGCAGAATGATGGATAAATTTGTGGATTTTTGTCATTTTACGACCAAAACCGTATTTTTCATGCACTTTAACTTACAATTAGTCGATGTTTTCTAAAATAAAGATATATCAAATGAAGAACAAGCTAAAGCACCACAAGTTTCGATAAATGAAGTAAAGAAGACGATACTTCCTTGTCTGAATGAAGTAGTCAAACGCATCAAATTCTCTGCCGGGCTATTCACAATCGTCTCGGAAAGCGAAATCGACTCCGATTCGATAACTTCTCGCACCGAAACCAATAAACGCTAATCACATTTAACGTTCGGATAAAGGTCACTTAGATACATCCCATAACTATTGTATCGTCATTTAGTTACATGCATTTACGAATTTTGTAGATAAATAGACTTTTGTATTTTTTTAGAGTAATGCCTGAACAAAAACATAATGCAATATTTTGGAGTTAGCCATTGATATCGAATTTCCGAGACGATTGTGAATAGCCCGGCTGAACGGGTTCCCGCCTAGTCGTGGGGTTGAGGGGGGGGGGGGGGGATGGGTTAGTAGCCGAGGTTTGGGTCACCCAATTGTGCACGAAGAGAAACCCAAATAGCTTGCCCGAGGCTTGATGGTGAAGAAGAATGAAATAACTTAAGTTTAGGAACGCCAATTTATAAACAAGATCTGCTTTTGAAAATTAAATAGTTACAAACTTCAATAAAGAATACTTGTTAATCAGCCACTATGAATCGTTTAAGTAATGACACATATTTTTAAACTGAAGGTTGTTTTGAAAAGAGAATTTGTTAACTAATGTATAATTTTGATTGGGAAAACAATTTTTTGGTATTTTAAAAATATTTTAATTTGCAAAGCTAAGAAGGCTGATTTAATTAAAATTTTAAGTAGACTAATTTCTAGTACTAACTTAAAAGTTATGCTCAAACAAAAAAAAACACTTCGAGAGAATGAGACGTTACATAGTATAATTGTAGGGTTTATTTATTATATTATTACTAAATTTAAAAATTATTTTACATTTTGTTCTACATATACATATTACATTACATATTAAATAGTCGCCAAGTTTGCAATTTTAACAAACAACACGAGTGTAATATATGAATATTGTTTTAGAGTAACTAATGAATATTATTTTAATATTCATTTATTTAATATCATAATTTCCAACCACGAGAGCTGCATATGGGATGATAAACGTTTAATTTTATAGCAAATAAATGTTACAATCCTTATTTTTAGACATCTACTTAATTTTATAGATAAACTCATATTATCCAACTAAAAATGGGGCATCCACGACTTTATCTGTCACCAGGACAGCGCCACTTTACAATGAGGTAAAATATTTAACAGATTTCATAGCGGGGAAGATAATTCCTTAGAAAAATGTAAAGATTAATGTTTCTTTCCTTATTATTAGTTATATTTTATATTAATTGATTTTACACTTACACACTTTACACTTAAAAGAAGATTCCACCCATGTTTCAAGATAATTGTAAAGTTTTAGTTGATCAATAAAGATTTTTTTTAAATTAGTTTGGAAATAAATAAACCAAACTATAAACAAAATTGAAAATAGAAACCACTGAGGCATTGTTATATTATTAAAATAATAAATAATACTCTAAAGACTGATAAACTACTATTTAAAACTAAGTTCTCAATTAATTGATATTGTGTAATAAAGAATTTCACCTCGGTCACAACTAGCGATATCTGGTGAGTAGAAGATTATTAGCCCTCATTTATTGACTCTCAAGGTGGTACGTAAAATAGACCCCAGACGGCAAGTTATGACATCGTATATTGTTATAAATGGATTGGATATCAATTTTTTAAATATGGTTAATTCTATTTATTTAATAAATTTATTAAATTTTATACTGTTTATTTTAATAGTAAAATTTATACTAACCAACTTTAAAGGACCGCACAAAGAGGAGACTGAGATAATAGTAAACACTGTATTTTTTTTTAAATACTAGCCATTGCTAGTAGTAATGTAATGATATCTACACAAATAAATAGAATTGAAGTGTCTGTTTGTAATGTTAAAATAACGGCCTAAATGCATATGAAAGTATATACCGTACTTATAACAAAAACATAATTTTTAAAATTTTTGTATGTTTGTTTCGGCTAATCTCCGAAATGGTTGGATTTTGACGGGAATTTCTCTGGCAAATAGCAGATGTTATAAGGAGTAATTTAGGCTACTTTTATTTTGGAAAAAGAATTAGGGTTCCGTACAAAAAAAATTGAAACCCTAAATTACAAGCGGGCGAAGTCGCGGGGAACACCTAGTTCTCAATAAACATACGAATATTCCCTTTAACCACTACTGGTAAGCTGAAAATGCTTATTAGGAATGGTCCCCACAACAGTAGTCGAATGGCGGATTCGAACCCATAACCTGGCTACTGTCGCTTACTACACTGTATTCTATCTCCTTCTCTCGCAGGTTAAATCCTATAGATGTATATGTCTTGTATTTTTAGTTCACATCGATTCTAAAAAAGTTTTCACTTAAAAAGCTAAAATATTCATCACCCGTTGAGTAGTACTATTGCTTGCTCCTTCACCTATAGCACTATCATTGAACAAAAAGTAGTAGCTGGCTAAAAGTACCAAAAGAACAAGGAAATCCCATCAGTTGAAGACTAGTACTGAAATTCCTGGTTACAGATTCCCTATTTTTAATAGTGTTACTTTAATTTCTACGTTATTAAATAGTTTACTTGAAATGTTCTCTTGTCAGCAGTAGCATTCTGCCCACTAAGTCCGTTGTAGACACACCAGCCGTCCGAGGGACTTCCCTAAAAAAATACAAAGTAAAATGTATTGCAGAAAAAAGTTAAACATATTAAACATATTGCGCGAACGGAGGAGTGTTCGCGCAATATGTATATATGTATAGTATACGACGAGTGAGTGAAGGTTTGACGTCGATTTTTATATATAAAAGGAAAGCTGAAAGCTGAAATTTATATTTAACTTATGTGACAAATATATAAAATAAAATAAAATAAAACACTTTATTTATGTTCATAGTGCAGATGTTTCAGTCTGTAAGGTCAATAGCAAACATTTTTTATAATTTTTTATATCGATGAATATAATGCGTTTTAAAAATCCATTCAATAGAGAATTTTATTGCGTATTTCATATATTATGTAAATGTGCAATTTGTATCCGAGCAATATACTATTTCAAGAGATATGAATTCTCGAGTGTCAAAATAGTGTCTAGTTATTCTTGCAATCTGACCTTAAACAAAATGTTCTTTTCTTCATAATTATAACAAGAGATCGCTATGTAACGATAAGGCCGCCAAATTGTACATTTAATCTATCTTTTGTTATGTAATTTGTTTATTTGTTTGTGGTGTACAATAAAGTATATTCATTCATTCATTCAATAGTCAACCACTGGATATACACACGACAACAGATTTTCATATAAATATTTTACCACCTCAGAAATAATGGAAAATGTTATTTCCGCTTCTATCTGTTCGTTGTGTAGCAGTAGCGTAAAATAATCCAGTACTACATATCATCCATGGGTGACAGAGGAGAACTGAACCAATAGGTGGACTACAGCATCATCGTTATAACAGTAACAATAATTTAAAAAAAAACCACTGCAGTTGCCAACCGGCATGTCAAGCATGGCAATCCCTTATATGCATATCCCTTGCTATGAGAAAATCTATGGAAGAGGCCTTTGTACAGCCGTGGACTTTTGATAGGCTACAATAGATGGATGCATATTAATCGCGGAGCCAGTAAGTCAAGCCGATCGGAAAGAACTCGGTCGTCGACGATTCGAACCGCTCTGCGCTGGATGCGCTCAAGTGTAAGGAGCTGGCACTCGGGAGCCCCTACCCAGAGATGGTAACAGTATTCCATGTGATTCGGCCTCACATGAAATACTGTCCCCATCTCTATACTATGTGAGGCCGAACCTGCACCTTGTAAAGTTGCAAGTGGTGTAGGCCGGCATGAAATACTGTCCCGCTCTGCTGAGCACACCAAGTTTTTTAGAGACCAATTTGGCTTTCTCTTCCAAGTGCCACGAACCTGCACGTCACTCGATATGTCGACACCGAGGATTCCGATACTGGCAGCGGTAACAAGGGGAGTGCCTTGAAACTGAGGAGATACGAAAAAGGGGTTCTTTTTAGCGGTAAACGCACAAACTAGTGCCTTCTGGGGATTGAACTGGACTAGATTTAGTCGCTCCGTCTGAGCTTTGTTCAACAAAGTCTCGACTTTAGACACAAGTTTGTTCCGGTACTCGACGACGTTTTCCCCAGAAATATTGGCACGGCTGGTATATAAAGCATCACCAGTGCTGTCGTATGCATAGCAATGAATGTTACCGGTTTGCAACATATCATTGATATGCACAAGAAATAGCGTTGGTGTTAGCACGCAGCCTTGTGGAACACCAGCGTTAATGGGCTTGTAATCGGAGCACCTTGATGCTCCGATCTGCAAGAAAACTGGTGATCCAACTGCACGATTTCTCGCCAAGCCCATAGGAAGGGAGCTTCGAAAGAAGCGCTTTGTGAAAAACCCGATCGAAGGCCTTCGCTATGTTCAAACTAACGGCCAACGCCTCCCCCTTGGGACTCCACTGCCTCCGCCCAAATAGGAGTTAGGTACCGCATGAGCTGGCAGTTAATAATAATTTCCATTACTTTGGAGAACAAGGAGGTCATCAAACCATGGCTGAATTCTGCCTTCAATAGGCACCACAGATGATGGAATAAATAATTCCATCATCTGTGGTCCGCATCCCGTCCCAATCGGCCGATCTATAGTGCCAAACACGGTGGCTAGCTGCTGAGCGCAACTGCGATGGGAGTATGAGTGGCACCGTACTCCGGATCAGACAATGGTCCGAAGAACCAAGAAGGGCATCGACGGAGACCTGATATCCGTCCGGATGAGAGGTCAGCAGAAGAAGTCCACATCTAGGATCCGCGTAGGCGAAGTAATCAGTTGTGTCAGACCATATGCCAAGGCAGTCCATAAACAGATCGGTTAAACGGGAACCAAGCTATTCAGCATGGTGGGCGTTAAAATCACCGAGCATCACTATCTCTGCGGATTGGACCTGTTGTAGCACGGAGTCTGCAGCCATTTGGACGTGGTCTATGAGTCGGTTTGTGTCGGCATTATCGCTATGGGACCTATAGAGGCATCTGTAGACGCGAGGATGGTCGTCGCTGTCTACGCGCAGCCATAGGATGGACAGGTCCGTAACTTCAAGACTGACGAGGCATCGAAAACAGATGTCCTCTCTTACGTACACTCAAACTCTCCAGCCCGGGGCACAAAGGAGTGTTCTAATTTGTACCCCGGGTAGGACAGGTACGAAGTATCAGCCGGAGAGGACATCTGTGTCTCGGTTAGAAAAGGCCGGCTTTACCGTCTCCAGATGGCAGTAGACGGCGTTAAGGTTTGAATGAAGTCCCCTGATATTGCAGAAATTCACGGAAAGCATGGCATGGGTTGCCTTTGTCTTATTGCTCCGCTTGCCACAAGCAGGCTTCGTTTTGAACGAAATTTCGCCCCCCTTCCCCTCCCCTCAAAATACGCACGGCAGCCTGAGCACCAACGCTCACAAAAAGTAGGGTAGCTTGGGCGTGGATGCTCAGCAAGGGATTCTCCAGGGATGCTGGTACCCTCCTGGGGTAGTCTTCCATTTAATTCCGCTACCATGTTGATGGGGAGAGGGGGGGGGGAGGAATTGGGCCTCCGGCCGCCTGCACTCACCAGGCGGAATGCAGAAGTAAGCTTCTACTTCACGCTGGTATTCTGTAAGTTTTATTAGTAGACCACCATAGCTGAAATGAAGCAATGCATAACGTTAAGAGTCATGCCTTTATGCTATATTAATTTCAATAGTATTATATGATAATATGCATTAATTAAGCATATAAACTTCAATGATTAAAAATTCTACCTGTATCTGTTAGCTTTTTTAACTAAATGATATGTATCTATTCCATCTGCAGTCACTGTGATGTCATCTGAAAATTTAAAAAATATTGATTTTATTATGTAATTTACAATTTTCTTTTTTCTTGTATTCTACATCGTATTTTGTTAATTATTGTATTTGCCTGTTTATATAATGGAAAATAACAATACTGGAACAAATTGCTTATGCATGCTTTTTATTGTTGCTATTTGATATTAAAATTTTTTCATCATTATTGAGGTTTGATATGCATGACTTATAATATTTAGTTACATGCGTGACAAGCATAAATAATAGCAATACCACTGTAAAAATGTACGTTTTGAGACTTTATGGGATATGCTATCATACCAAAAATTATATTTTTGTTCTATCTATTAGTAATGTTGTAGCATTTTAACAAGCATACTTAGTTTTTTTGATATAATTAGATTAAATAAAATTGGTATACACTGAAAATTATCTTTATCTCAATACAATACATTCAATCACTCTCTATAACAAAGGGTACTCTATCGCAAATACTAGGCCATTGTTTAGACGTAAAAAAACCTTTACTGTTGTAAGCCAGATGTTAACACTAATGGTGTGGCGATTATCACGTGTTATAGGAAGTTCCAGGGACTGGACGTAATTTTTTTAATAATTTTTAGTAATATTTTTTGTACATGTGGTTTATTATGGTTATTGCCTATCCTTCATACAATATTGACCATATCGGTCAATGTGAGCATGAAATCCATTCGGTAAACAACTAGATGTAAAAGAAAGATTTTGTCTCTAGACAAAAAAGTTATGTAAAATACAATAGAAAATGATGAAAAGAAGAGTGATGTTGGATGGTGGTTAGTCACTCCGTCCACTGTAATCAGTTTGGAAGTGCAAGGAGTTCGACTCTTGTAAGAAGATACGTAAGCCAAAATTTGAAGATCTAGACAAAGCTATGCTACAGTGTTTCCAGCAGCAGCATAGTACTGCAGCATGGCATTGTCTAGGCAATCATTGGCCTAATTATAAAATTAAAGACTGAAAAGTTCACTGAACAGCTGGGTATCACAGACTTTAAAACCACAGAAGGACAGCTCGGAAAATTTAAAAGACTTCACGAAATAAACATCAGATGAGTAAAGAAGCCCGTCAAGTCGACAGAAACGTCGTAAACGGATGGCTTGAGAAGTCGTGGTCTAAGATGAAGCCGCGGTACTCTACCAGCAACATTTTTAATGCAGATAAAATTGGCATTTATTACAAACTGGCACCAGATAAGACTCAAAAAGTTTAAAAGTGAAAAATATGTGGTTGGCCAACCCTCCAAAGAATTTACGGCACTGGTAAATCAAAAAAACTAATTTTTTGATTGCCAGTCACTAATAAAGCAAACAAGTCTGCATGGATGACATCACACCTTTTTGAAGAAGAAGTACAGAGGTTGGATGCAGAGCTAAAAGGAAGGCAAAATTTTACTTCTTGTGGACAACTACTCTGCTCATTCTGCAATCGCCAATCTTCAAAACAGAACAAGTGTTTTTTCCCACGAATACTGGAAACAATTGAATCTGATAGTAAGTTTTCCATCAATAATTTAATGAGCAGAGCCTGGGATGAGGTGACAGCAGTAATCATACCGCATTCTTTTCGCCATGCTGGTCTATCTACTGATTTTGCAGGCATCTCTGCAAGTCAAGAATCCGAATCGAACGAAGATGATCTGCCGCTTAGTGAGTGGATTTAACATTTTAAGATGATAGTCACCTTTACCAACAAAGGGCTGCAGAATTTTGTTTCTGTATAGTAAAGCAGACCGATGAAGAAATTATCAGAGTTGCCATGTAAGCTGGGAAGAGTCAACAGATCTACTTTCAGGAGGAACAATCCAATAATCCCTACCCAATCAGTATCAGACAAGCACTGGATGCAACCATATTTTGGAAAGATTCTTATTGTGTCATGAAGACAATGCTAGAACTTTTAAATGGATATCAAAAACACATAGCACAGTGCAATCTAAATATAGCAAAAAGTGCATAGGAAAATAATGGAGTACTTATAATCTATTATATTAATATTTTCACTGGCCTTAAATTTTTGTATTAATATTAAAGCTTAAAAAATTTGCATTAAAAAATTGTTGTTATTTTTTACTCAATCCTTCTAATGGTAACTCTTTATAACCAAATAAATTGTCTGGTCCATTGAATTTCTTAAAAGTAAGTTTTCACTGTATTTAGAATATTTATTCCTTAATATATATTGGTAAACATACTTTTCCTATACATTAAAAGGAATTCAAGGTTTTCAACTTTCTATATTGATTGTTGCTTTAAGCTGTTAAAGCTCATTTTTGGAAACTTCAACATAGCATGAACTATGTTCCTTATTTTTTTTTTAAATAATGCAAAGATGGAATAAAGTGGCCTCCTGCACAGTCTGCTTCATAGGAGGGACTTTGCCATAGTTGCCACACTTGGCAGGCAAATTGGCAATTGCAGTTTTTTATTATTTTCGTCCATGTTACGTTCCCTTTTTTGCCTCTTAAGTCTCACTGGTTGATATTAAACAGGTATAGGGTAGTGGATATTCTTACACCGCCACTACACAGCGATAAGTAGAGTTTAAGCAGAAAAATTTTCTGGACATACCTCCATGTACACAAAAGTCGCATTGATATTTATCTAAGGTTTCTAAGGTTGTAACATAAGGTGCTCCTTCTACCACCTGATCAACCCATTTAATAGCACGAACCATTTTATAGCGTTCTTCTTGTGTAAATACTGGAGGGCCTTTATGCTTAGATATTTCTTCATCTGTATGTATACCAACTATTAACACATCTCCTAATGCTTTGGCTTGTCTTAGAGAATTTGCATGCCCAAAGTGGACCATGTCATAACTGAAAATCAAAACAATTACTGAAACGTTGTACGTGGTAGAGCCATGCTGCAGCTATATTAGTATTATAGTTGTAGTGTGAATGGGTTGGCTCGACCGGGAAAGGACCACGCTCTCACAGAATACCAGCGTAAAATGGCAGCTTGACACTGCTGTGTTTCGTATGATGAGTGTAGAAAACCGGAGACCCTTTTTACTGGAAAGAGGCATACCATCTTAGTCCTCACGGGTAACGACGCATCTGCATTTTGATTTTTGATTCTTTATTGAGAATAAATGTAGATGTTTATGGGTCACAGCAACCACTTACAATCAGGTGGACTGTGTGCTCGTTTGTTACCCTTATTCTATAAAAATACAGCCATGGATTTTTCCATTTAAGCAATTTTTCTGCCGACTTCCAAAAAGGAGATGGTACTCAATTCGACTGTATGTTTTTTTTATGTGTTACCTCATAACTTTGTACTGGGTGAACCGATTTCGATGATTCTTTTTTTTATCTGAAAGCTGATAGTTCTCGTGTGATCCCATATGAATTTGATCAAGGTCAGACCAATAGTTTTTGAGTTATTCTTAAATAACTTATATTGAAGTCGGCTGTACAACATTTTTAATTTTAAATTATTTATTTGAAAGATTAAGAATATTATAGTTTATTTTAGATTAATTTATTTCGCAAGCTTAAATCTATATAAAGTAAAAAAAAATACTATAGGTATATATATTGAGTCAATTTTCACCTTTAAATAATATTTAGAGAATGCTTATAATGTCAATTTAAAACTATCCAGAAATAGGCCGAAAATGAAATACTTAACCTACGTTGAAACTAAAATAAAAATTAATTTCTTACCATCCATCACACCAAACACGAATTTCTTTTTTATCTTTTTGTTTATCGCTCATTTTTAATTAAATATTCCAATTACAACAACAATATAAAATAAATATACGTATTAAATGTTTAATAACCACAATTATTTGAATTTTTTAAACGGGAATATTAATTAATTATCGATACCAATGACAGCAGGCGACACCTCTTTACCTGAGAATTTTAAATTTTGACTGAAAGTGAAGTGAAACAGAACAGAATACAACAGAATATAATGATGTAAATGTAACCCCCCGTTTACACTCTCGCGCGAGCGGCGTGGTATACCGGGTTTAGACTCTCGCCTCGCGCCTCGCTTCGTACCTCGCCTCGCAGCTCGCGTGTTGTTGCAAGGTAAAGGCGGCTAGCGGTTAAGGCGGCTACTGACCTGCCTGCTGCAGGAGCAATCTAGTGTCTAGGAGTAGGGATGACCCTTAATTGCCTCCTTAATTGTAATGTGTGTAGGCAAGCAGGGGCAATTTTTTAAGTGGGCCCTGTGACAGGGCGGCAGCAGCGCAAGACCTTCCTAGCTCCCTAGATCGGCCCTGCCGCTGTCGCGTGTGTAGCGCAATTGGGGCAATTTTGTTCAGTTCGTTGCGACTTTCGCGCGGAGCACACGTATGAGTACAAGTCAGAACCGCAGAAAAAATGTTATTTGAACGTTGTAACTTAGAAGTAACATTACTGGGATTTGTTACCTAATTTATCATAAGGGCTAGTATGGGAAAGAAAATATTCCAATGGTATAAAAATTGCTGGAATATAAATTAAATAATTAAAACTCAGCATTAGAAAACTATCCTGGCTATTTGTAACACTAGTTAAATTACAGTTACTAAGCACTAGTTAGTTAAGTTATATCACAGAATAAATTGGTTATATTAAATGATGACGAGTGAAGTAAGTCATATTTAATTGTCTTTGGTAGCCTAAAAATAGCGTGGCAGAGCTATGCTGCAGCTTATAAGCACTATATTATGGTTGTAATTATTAAGTAATTAGTTGTTTTATTGATAAATGTGGGTGTCTATGGGCCACAGTGTCCATTTACCATCAGGTGAACTGTGCTCATTTGTCACCCTTCTCTTTATATATAAAAACTAGCTGTTCCTCGCGACTTCGCCCGCGTGTGATTTGGGGTTTTAGTTTTTTTGTGCGGAACCCTAATTCTTTTTCTAAAAAAAGTAGCCTAAGTTACTCCTTATGACATCAGCTATCTGCAAGTGAAAGTCCCGTCAAAATCGGTCCAGCCGTTTCAGAGATTAGCCGGAACAAACAGACAGACAGACCGACAGACAAAAATTTTAAAAATTGTGTTTTTGTTATAAGTATCGTATATACTTTCATATGCATTTAGTAAAAAGCCGTAATTTTGACATTACAAATAGACACTTCAATTTTATTTATTTGTATAGACTAGCTGACCAGGCAGACGTTGTTCTGCCCTATTAGACGACCCTTCATATAAAAAGTTCTTAAATTTGTAATAAAAAAATATTGAATGTCACTTATCAGGATAAAAACTATCCTATCTCTCAAGTTGGACCAAATTGCACAGAGTCTGCAAAATTTCATTGAAATCAGTTCAGTAGTTTAGGAGTCCATCGCGCACAAACAATGTGACACGTAATCTTTATATATAAAAACTAGCTGTTCCCCGCGACTTCGTTCGCGTGTTAGGGTTTTTATGTTTATGCGCGGAACCCTGATTCTTTTTCTAAAATAAAAGTAGCCTAAGTTACTCCTTATGAAATCAGCTATCTGCCAGTGAAAGACCCGTCAAAATCGGTCCAGTCGTTTCGGAGATTACCCGGAACAAACAGACAGACAGACAGACAAAAATTTTAAAAATTGTATTTTAGTTATAGGTTGTATTTTATTTACTTTCATATGCATTTAGTAAAAAACTGTAATTTTGACATTACAAACAGACACTTCAATTTTATTTATTTGTATAGATGTATAGATGTATAGATTACGTGTCACATTGTTTGTCCGCGATGAACTCCAAAACTACTGAACTGATTTCAATTAAATTTTGCACGCTGTGTGCAGTTTGGTCCAACTTGAGAGAGAGGATAGTTTTTATCCCGATAAGTGACCCTCAATTTTTTTATTGTTAATCTCAAGAGTTTTTTCAGGAAAGCAAATGGTCGTCGAAAAGGGCAGAACAACGTCTGACTGGTCAGCTAGTTCTATATAAAAGAGCCAAGGCTATGTATACCGATTTATTGATATTTCGATAACACAAATATGGTGGATGATATCTATTCATCGAAACAGAACCTTTTCAATTTCATAATTTTATATAAAATGCTAGTACCTATTGTGCAAGATTAAATAATATTATTATGTTAAAATTGTAATTTTAACACAAAAGTAATTCGAATGTTATTATGGAAGGGCATCGTAAACAAACTGAAACGAGAGTGCGAGTGTAAACACCACGCTCGCGTTCCTCGCGAGGTCCTTTGCCTCGTGCCCAAAAAACCGCCTCCAACAAGAGCGCCGCGAGTGGCGAGGCGAGCTGCGAGGCGAGCCACGAGCTAGCGTTTACACTCGCACCTCGTGGCCCGCCTCGCGACTCGCCTCGCCGCTTGCGCGAGAGTGTAAACGGGGTATAATGTACTGAATACTGATCACAGAATACTTTACTCCTAGATACTGATGGACGATATATACGTTCATGTATTAAAATCACTCGATGTAAAGTATCGATATCGCCGTATCAGCCGTATCAATGACACGGGGCCCCCGGGCTACAGAGGCCCCGAACATGTGTAAGCAAAAATTCTAAGGACTTCTATGGGACAGGATGTTGGTTTGAATTGCTTGGCAAGCTTAGTTCCTAGAAGTATTAATTGTAAGTAATAGATTATAATCAATATATAATTATTTTAACTCATTGCGAGAGTTTTTGTTCCTTTTGTGAAAAATCTTTACCCTTCATTTGGGCCCCCCGACAAATTTTGATACAGGGCCCCTCTAAGGCACGCTACTCCACTGCTGCTAGGATAAAATTCTACCATTGCTTTCGCATAAGTGCCACGAAGTACGTAGTTATCGCACCGAAAAGATTAAGTCTGCATCCTCGGAGGAAAAAATTAATTTTCCATAATTATGGAAAGTAATTTGACTGATAGCGATGCAGACATGTTTTTTCGGTTCGAAGACTATTCGTAAAGTGGCGTCTATGCGAAAGCAATGGTATTCCCCTCCTATAAATATTTTATCATCATCATCATCATCATCATTATCATCATTACAGCCTTTCACAAGTCCACTGCTGAACCCATGTTCAGTTCAACAAAGGCCCATGCCTCCCCCAAGGAATACCACAAAGCACGGTCCCGAGCCACCTGCATCCATTGTCAGCACACCTGAATGTCTTACCAGGTCGTCACTCCATCTAGTGGGGGGACGCCCTACATTTCGCCTGCCGGTACGAGGCTGACACTCGAGAACCTTTCTACCCCATCGGCTGTCGGTTCTTCGAGCTATATGGCCGGCCCATTGCCACTTCAGCACACTAATTCTTTGTGCTATGTTGGTTACTCTGGTTCTACTGCGGATATCCGCGTTTTTAAGTCTATCACGCAGAGAAGCGCCGAGCATAGCCTTCTCCATAGCTCGCTGAGCGACTTTGAACTCCCTCATACGTCCAGCAGTGAGGGACCACGTCTCAGATTCATAGGTTCTGAGGTATAGTAGGTGTCTGACGCAACAACTACCGGCATAGGTGTGACATGGATGTTAAACATGGTTTTTGTTTGGTTCTTGTTCATCTTAAGAACTATCCGTTGGGAGACACTATTGAGGTTATTGAGCATAGTGTTACCAAATTTAAATATTTGATTAAACAAAAACTTTACAAAAAGAGTTATTATAATATAAATGAATACAAGTTAGATAATAACCTCTGGGTGGTCAGTTCCAAGCTGTTTCTAAAATAAAATTTGTAAATTGTTTGTAACTATTTAAATTGTAAAATTTATTAAAAAAAGTCCCGCTGGGTTTCTTGCTGGTTCTTCCCAGGACAGAGGTTATTTCCGAACCAGTGGTAAAGTAAAAAATTGACTTTTATTAAGAATTACTTGTAATCAATATTGAATAAAAATTATTCTATTCTATTGTTTTCATTGAGTTAATAAGTTGCTCGTCACGATTCCCAAAATTATTAAGTAGGAATCCATTTTGAAACTTTCCCTGTTCAGTTAGTGTTTAAAAAACAATCGATGTGTGGAAAACATTGATATATTTATCGATATAACATCGATACCACTGAGCGATGCATTAGATCGAAAAAAAACATCGATGTTTTTTTTTCGACGTCTATCACTAATGTAAAGTATAATAATCACCTGTATTGTACTTGCTTGTATACATTATACAATGTACTCTGTGGCTGAATGTGAATGGTGATTGAAAATGAAATGAAGTTTTCGTATTATTATCCGTGACCACTGACAGATTTTATTTGTCAAATCTACGAAACTGGGTAGATATAACAGCCACATTCATAAAACAAAATAAAATGATCCCAATAGCTTAGAACAAAATTTACGGAGCTTTCCGCAAATTACACCGTCTTATTTTTCATTCAATCCGTTACAGCCTACAAAAGTCCACTGCTGAACATAAGCCTCCATCATAGATTAGCTCGTTGGGGATTTTGACACAGTTGCCACGATTGCAAAGCGGATTGGCAACCGATTTTTTTTTATCATTTTAGGTTGTTATTAGGAACATGCTGCTGTCCATCTCCTGTTCCAGTTGTCACCAGCCGCCTCTTACCCGTTTAACAGTGGTCCAGTGGTGCCTGGGCCGGCTCGAACCGGGGTGGTACCACGAGCTCACAGAATACCAGCTCACAGAATACCAGGCTGATACTTCATATCTCTCCTACCCGGGGTACAAATTAGAAAAGTCCTTTGTGCCCCGAGCTAGAGTTTGCGTATTGCGTCAGAGAGGACTTCTGTTTTCGACGCCTCGGCAGTCTTGAAGATACGGACCTGTTCATCCTATGGCTGCG